AACCAGAGAAGATATGAAAAGCTGGATTCGTAATACTATGCCGAGAGCCGAAATTGAGGCAGCAGTTTTGTCTACCCACGAGATGCTTCAGGAATGCATAGAGCGTGATGGTCAACATTTCGAGCATTCACGGAGGCACTGAATCCTTTCTTTTTTAAATCGGCCTTTTTAGGGCCACAACTTAATAATAAAAAGAAATCCTAGAAAAATAAGATAAAAAAATAAAAATTTAAGGGATTTCCGTATAAAATTTTCTTTTGCCTAAATATTGCGTTAGAAACAAGATATAGAGGTACGGTTTTCGCGAGCTCGTTTAGACATCATTTAGCTACTTTTTCATGAAAAAAAGCATTATTTTTTTTGGAAAAATTAACCATTTGGCGGAATGTCGAAAAAGCCCGCTAGCGGCCACATGTGAAACTAACAAAACTCCAAATATTATAACATTTGTAGCTCAGGAATAGCTCTTTTCATGTAGCCCAAGTTTGTTGTGGTGATTTTTAAGGAAAAATTGTCAAAAAAAGTACACATCATCCTCGACTATAACGATCAGGTATTTTTTTTAGGATAATATAGAGCAATTCACAGAAACATCACTTTTTAGATACAAGATTGTAGTTACGCCCCTTAGCTGCCATTTTATAAACTTGAAAATATTTTTCAGGTTTTTCTCTTGGCCGTTTTAGGAATAACTGTTTTTGCCGTAAGCATCTACGATGGATACAATACCTCGCATTCTTAGTTGGTCACCCTGTACATACGTACATCTTCCTTACACATACACGCTCTATGCGCAATCGTTTGGTTGTGTAAACAAAAAGACAAACGTTTTATTTTTTCTCACTGCCATGAAAATGTTCTGGTCCACCTATGAGTCTTCCACATTTACGTTTGTCACTATCAGTATGACAACTTGCTCGTCGTGAACGGGTGATTGTTGATCTACGATTGACATAGTAATGGCTAAAGATATAACTAGCTCCACCTATTCGGTCGACAGTCTATATTAGAAGTATTTTGAGGAAGTGATTGAAAATAACGGCTCTCTATCGACCATTTCACGTGTGTGTGCCAGAGCGAGTAACAGCTGCGTTTTGAATTGGCTTGCGCCGGGTGTAATTTTTCTAATCTACGCAAATGGCACTACGGCACGAAAACAGTGGAAAGAATTATTAGTTTTAGTATTAGCCTAAGATCCGGGCATATGAGTTCCGTTTACATATCGTAGCCGAAAGACAAAATTACGGGTTAATCTGTACATGCTGGAATTTAAGAAAATGATGAGTTGACATTCATAAAGATGAACCATTCAGCTTCACAACGATTGAACACAGGTAAAAACTTTATTTCACAAAAGATACTAAAAACTACATGGGAAATCTGAAAATTAAAAAATGAGGGTTTCCATTTTGAAATCTAAAGTGTAACACGCAATATCTTATTTTTGGATCACCCTGTATTGTACGGCTATAGTCCCCTAGAAATCAAAATTGCGTCCGAGAGATTTTCCCAAAATATACCAGGAGTCACAAATGGGGGTGCGACCCTTTCGTTGAGCCGCTCTGTAGATTTTTACATAAAATACCTTTTTTATATACTCGGAAAAGTGCAATTCAATACTTGTATTTTTTAAATGGAATATCCTGTATATTTTTCCGTGTGTTTTTACTTTTTGCTAAATGGAACAATTATTTTTTTCTAATGGAAGAACTGTCAGTTTTGCACTTTAGAGAACTTTAATTGAAATCTACATCTTGTTTTGGAAATGTCTTTCGGAATATAGTGTAGGGATATAGGGTGTTCCATTTGAAATATGCGTGTTAGCAGCACAGCAGCGCCGTAAAATGTATTGACTCCTAATTTTGTATGCATTAGGCATTATGGCAATTGTATCTATTTCTACAGTATAAGTATTAATAGATTTGTTTAAAATGATAACTATCTTACATTTTACCTATTTTTGGTTCTTTCTACTTTGGCATCTATATCTCTGTCCCAGATATCATTTATGGTACATCCTGCTCCTCTCATTACAAAAGATCCTACGCCGAATAGACCTAACATGTAAAGACCTGGTAGTGTGCCTGAAAAAACAGAGACAGTAATTAAAATAGCTACTATAATAAAACTTTGACAAAAATCAATTTTAGTGCACCTCAAAATTAATCCGCGTACTAAGCAGCAATGTGTACGTTTGTCTTCATAAAGATTGTGGGGCGGAAAGCGTCTGCATTTAATGAATTTAATTTTCTTGAGAAAATTCTGTTAAAAAAGGCCCACAACGCACATGTAAAACTAACAAAGCTTCAAATATTATAACATTTGAAGCCCAAGAATAGCTCTTTTCAACTAGCCTAAATTGATAAAATCAACTCAGCCATTTTGAAAATATAGAAACCGAAAGTTCACATCATCCTTGACTTTAAAGATCAGGTATTTTTTTTGTTAGATTAATTTAGCAAATTTGCAGAAACATCACTTTTTAAGATTCAAAATCACAGTTATTTCAGAAACTTGAAACTATTTTCTCTTGGCTGTTTTAGTAATAACTGTTTTTGCTGCAAGATGGATAGGTTCACAGATACAGTACCTCGCATTCTTAGATGGCCATCCTGTACATATGGAACATTATTTGAAAATAGGCATATGGCTAACTGAAATCATGTGTTTAAAAAAATCTGTATTGTAAACGTTTCTGTCACATGACACTATTTTTATTCGGAAAACTTTCAAATCATTCATAAGTAAAGATGATCTTAGTGTCCTGAGATTTTCTACCGTGGAAGACAGTACTAGGGCCTCATGTACGCCCAGGCACCCATATCATTGATATGACTGTAAATATGGCAGTTGTTATGTCCTCACCTATAGTATTATCTCATTGTATTGTATTTGTTACAAAAACAGTAATTTGTTCTAACCTGGGGCTGCTGCAGATGCAATACTCCAACTACATGGCCAAAAGAGCAGCCACGAGCCTATTGGTTTATCCATTCTCATCAGACTCATATAAGGCTGTACACATTTTGGTGCTCCGTTAACAAGTCTTACAGCTATAGTTTTCTTTGGTTTCTCTTCTACATTTTTCGCACTACTTGTAGTATAGCAATTTCTCCATGGTGCTTTTGATAATAGGGAACTGCTAGCTAAATTCACCAGCTTCAAATCTCTTTGCCATCCCTTCAATCCCGACAATGTACAACTTCTATAAATTATTCTATAATACATTATCCTTAATTTTCATACACATTTATCTGAATTTTACATTTCCGATGGTTGATATCATAACATGTTTTATACGTTTCTTTTATAAATATTCCATCAATTAAAATATTCAAATTCATGAAAAAGTTAGGTTATTTTTATCAAAAATATACACTGAAAGAATGCTAAATCAGTGTAATTCAACCAGCAACACGAATGTCGCCATGTTTTCGTGGTGAAAGAACAAATATGACACAGAAACAACGCCAGCCTACTCAGAACAATTCGACGAATGACATATGCCGCCATGTTTCTTACAATGACATACGGCGGTGCTCTCATGGTTGCCTACTTTCTCACCACATCTGTCACTCATTGACATCTTTATTTGATTGTTTTGAATGGTTTTCCTAATACCAAAAATTACTTTTTTCTGTCAAGTCTTTGGTACTTCTTTTGGCAGGCAATTTACATGGCTTGCTGCCGAAGGAGAATCACAAATGCTTGCAGAGAAACCAACACAGCATTTCTTCAATGAAACTGCAATATCAGAATGACTAATGGATTGACTTCGAATTTGACCATCAACATCTTTTGGAACTGCAAGACAGTTCAAACGTGAATAGGGATCCTGAAGGGAAACATGATCAGACGGTACGAACTGGTCTTCGCAAACATAGTAGTTATCAGATTTTGTACTAGAGCTAATCCACAGGCGTTTAATCATAATTATTGCCTTTGACTGGGATTTTTTGGGAATCGATGAAATTTCTTTGATGGGGGATATGAATGATTTACATTCAATATGTATTTATTTTGGCAATAAGGATATAGGCACTGTCGTGTCTATTTCTTGCTTGTTTTTGCCATAGTAGTATCAAAAAGATTTAAGTGAAACATAATAAATGCCCTGAGCAAACTTCACAATATCAGAATCAATGTCATGTAGGTACTCACCTGTATTTTTTTTACCCACTCCAATCTTGAAACATGGGTGACAGAAACTGGAACTGAAAATATTGAAAATCATTTCTTGAAACACACAATTTATAAAAAAATAATGTAGGCACAGAGGAACCGAGTGGAGTGAGAAAATTTTACTCAGGTTTTTTTTTCAAGGTGAACATAAACGCATGCTTAATTAAGGGTTTGATGACATACTCTAAATTCCAATAAATATAAAAAAAATTGCTCTATTTCATTATCACATCAGCTATTATAATTATTTCGGATCAGCATTGTTCCAAGCCACTCCACACGTCGGCACATTTTTAGCGGTAAAGGAAAAATGGCAGCTTGACAGCGGTGACGTTGAAGAAAGACGTATGAAAGACAAGTGACACTATCAAGACAAGTGACACTATCATTATTGATCGTGTTGCCGGCTGTTTTTTCACCACGAGAAACGTTGCCAGATTTCTTCCTGTGTTGCGCCTTGTCAGGCCTCAGTTGATCCCACGTGATTTTTACGTCAATGATGACTGCAATGTTGCCAGGTTCAAAAAATAAAAATCACTAGAAATTTTGCTAAAAAACCGCTAGACTGAATAAAAAATCACTAGATTTTTTTTATATATTTTTATATATTTTTTATATATAGAGGTAATTAATAAAATATTTTTAATTTTTGAGGCTTGCTTTAAAAAAAAACAACAAAAACGTACACTGGATCAGACACTTAAAAGAAACCATAAATATAAACAGACACAAGTAATAAAACACCAAATATATTTGAAAGCTTATAAAAACGTAACAATAAACATGAAATTAAATATAACTTACTTAAAACTACACTAACCTAAACGAATTTAAAAAAGAATGACTTTCTTTCGAGTACATATTATTATGTGAAAAGATTCCTAAAACACTCTTAAAACAAACAACAAAAACGTAAATTTGAACACACTCTTAAAAGAAGCCACAAATACAAAACCATCAGACAAAAGTAACAAAACACCAAATATATTTCAGAGGTTAAAAACGTAACAATAGAAACGAAATTAATAATAATAGTTTTAAATAAGTTATATTATTTAAGACTGCATTAAAATAAACAAATTTAAAAAGAATGACATTCTTACGAGTACATGTTATTATTATGTTTTTTATCATGTCCCTTGAAATTGAAAAATTAAAGCAGCTTTAATCTTAGACATTAATTAGTCTTTTGCTGTGCAAAATTCCACTTATTGTCGTAGCACCCAGTCGATTACGCAATTTGGATTTGTTTAAATTAATGTAAAACAATAATTTTTTCACACTTGCGCCTCTACTCGTATGTGGCAATGTAAATAAAATTTAAACAAAATTGGCAAGCTCTGGGTATGCGAGACTATCATCCCCTTTTTGATATTGCTTATGTTTTTCCAGAATTGAATTTCACCAAGCGAAGAACTACATTCCGAAAACTTCAACTGGCCAAATTCTTTATCTAAATTGTTAATGTCCTTAACTATATTTAGAAACCTATTAGCCAGAGTACCTATACTTTCAGTTGATGACATATTTTTATTGTACCGGACAACAATTGCTAAATGTTTTTCGGATGACAAATCTGTCGATTAGTCATCTAATAATGAAATTTTATGGCAATTTAGGTCACTAACAAGATTTTCTAAACTTATTTTCCCTAATACATTGTTTACGATTGCCGTACATTTAGTTCGGCCTACAGCCATTTTTTTCGCTTGGCTACTCCCCATTCCAGACAAACAAATAGATTTTATAAGTTCGTTAAGATGATCTGACACATTTATTGCGATATTATGCTCTGCAAAAAGCTGCAATTTTAATTTCATTCTGTTTTACTATATTACCAGAAGAAATTTGAAATAACTTTTTTGACAAAGTTGGTTGCTTATTTTTTATATGATTTTTTGAATATCCATGTTTTTTTAAAGCTCCTATGCCGCCTAAATAATCATAATTGCAAGTGGAAAAAATAGCTTCTGCGGGAACTTGGCTGCACCCAGTTCTTAAAATTTTCATGCTGCTCCCATTCAGCCTTGTATTTTTGGAAACATATTATTTTCTTTTGAGGTTGGTTGGTATTCTGGATCTTACTGGATACGGAATTAACCGAATCAGAAGTGGAGTCTAATTCATTTGTTGTACTCGGTCTCGTTTCCTTGGATCTATAAAAACCAAATTTATTAGAAATATAATTTCACCTACCTTCTTTTTATTTTTCAATCACTTAAATTCAGTGGTTTGTGAAACGTACACGTAAAACGTATTACTAATGTAGACGTAAATCAATAAACAAAGTACAAAATCATGAGTAATGTTCACTAAAGAATGAATATTAAGAATGAAACAAACACCCGTTGCGAAGCCTATAGGTGTATATAAAAATAAACTCGAGAAGCCTTATGTAAATCCTCGCGCCAAACAGGGTTGACCACTCGTCTAGATTAATTTCTTTGCATTTTGCACAATACTCAAAGTATAATGCATTGCCTAACTTCTCACTGGAAATTTGCAACAGGTCAATATAAAATCAAGTCAACCCCCAATGCTTTGTGCTGTTATGCAAAATGCAAAGAAATGAATGTAGATTCTAGTGATCTGCGGGCTAAAGACTATTTAAATCTTATCGTTATACAACCTAACCAGAAAAGCCAGAGATACCTAATATAAAATAATTTTTTAATTTTTGATATATTTTTATAATAATGAATTTCGACATTATCGATTTTCCCATATCCAGGAACTGCACCTATCACATTGAAACAAAAATATCGCATGATCATAGTGACCACCTGCCTTTAATTCCTGAAGTAGGGACAAAAAATGTTGGAAATGAGGACGCTCTAGTTCGGAGAATAGATTGGGAAAAATTTCCCTTACCGATATGGATTCGTTGCTTGTTCATTGGACAAATTCTGTACAATCTGCCCTTCAAGAAGCCACTATTACGACCAGTAAACAATTTAGACAATAGAAAAATTGGAGACAGACTGCAAGAGACTGTAGAGCAGCTTCAGGATTGGTGTCTCCATTGGAGAATTAGATTGAACGCTGGGAAAACCCAGTCAGTTTTAGTCACTAAAAGACAACAATGATTACAAGCCGAAATAATTATTTGTAACTAAATAATTCCATGAGCATATCAAGCAAAATATTCAGGACTAACAATCGACGCAAGTCTAACTTGGAAATCTCATGTAGAACCGATTAGAACAAAGACTATAATTATATTTCGTTATTTATACCCCATGATCAAGGGTACTACAAACTATCGTCGAGAAAAATGATGTCAATGTTGTAGATTTATTCCGTCATCACGTGTAGTAAGGTGTTAAAAAATAAATATTCGTTACTCGAGTACTCGTTACTCAGAGGTATCCAGAGTAACGAGTATATAGTCAACGCCAAACAAAGTGGCGTGCACGTCATCAAGGTGGGTGTGTTGAAAAATTTACATTGTTGCCAAACTTTTTGTAAAATAATAAAATTTATTATTTACATATCTAGGTTTATAAGCAATATTAACCTCAAATGAGAAAAAAAATAATAGTATAATAAAATTATAGATCTGTACTTGCATAATCATTAAGTATGACAATTATTGATCAGATGACACCATGAAACTACCATATTTAATTGATAGCTTAAAGGTACTGAATAAAAATCCAAATGGGGTCCTCCAAATTTTATGCATGGTATTTATTTTACAGAATTCATACAGAAAAATGTATTCTAAAATTAGGTAAGCTACTGGTGTAAGCTTTTTCTGTACAATAAAGTTAGTCGGAGTTTCTTTCTTCAGCGCTGTCTGAATCTGAATCTTCATCACTCTCAAAGTTGATTATTAAAGGTTCGATGTCTGGTCGATCAAAAATTCGTTCTCTTTCATACCATTTAAAAATTTCTTGCTCAGTATGTCGAACACTATTTTTCCACATGTCTGGGGTAACCGTTTGTAGAGCCTCGTTCCACATATCCAAACAGTCTTTTTCACTGTTACCATCTCTACCAATATGTCTGTTATAGTAACCTTTTGCTATGCCCCAAATTAACTCAATAGGGTTAAATATACAATGGTAAGGAGGCAGACGAAGAACTTTGTGCCCATGTTGTTCCGCCAATTCATCAATCACGTATATTTTAGGTGGTTTGTTTCTAAAAAAGCAGTTATTTTAAGAATAGGAATAAACAAAAGAAATATAAACTGTCGACCAAAATATATATAATTAAGAAGCATTATGTACCGAGCAACAATACTCAATAGCTCTGTTTTAAACATTGTGTTTAAAAATGGTATGTTTTGATTTGTCAACCAGTCTTGGTTTTTTTTTTTTGTCCATGCATTGTTGGGCACTTTGTTCAATATCATGCTGTGATAAGGGGCGTTATCCAGTATAATCATAGATGGACTCTCCAATTTTTCTAATAACTGATGTTGAAACCATTTCAAAAAATTGTCCTGGTTCATATCTCCATGGTAATCGCTCAATTTTGTTTTCGAAGAAAATATCGCTTCACTACCCTCAATAAACCCATTTTCATTTCCAGCATGTAATATAATGTATCTAAAATATATTAGTTTTAAATTTTATAGTGCAAATTGTGTAAAAGTACATACCTTTTACCATCTGTTTTAATAGCTTTCACGCTGTTTTGGTTTCCATTTTGTCAAGAGCGACCTATGGTCCCATTTTGAAATATCCAAGTTTCATCGAGGAAGACAAACTGGTATAAGGCCTCAACCTTGGCTTGATTGTATTGCCTTAGAAATTCCACCCTTTTCAAAGCTATACTTGGTAGTTCCATGAGCCCTCGTCGCGGATTGTCCTTAAGCCACTTAAATCCAAGATCTCTAAGCAACCGCCTTAAAGACGTGGCACTACCATCAAATAATGCCCTATCTCTTAATCGAGACCATAAAGTTTGTATCGTAAATTGTTCTTCTGAAACCATGTGTAATATGACATTATAATTTAGTTAACAAATTAATGCAAATTTCTGATAAGTTATTATAATACGATCTTACTTTGTGATACATTATTATAGATCACTTCTCGAATGGCACTTGTATCCAATGTCGCTGTGTTGGTTACACGTTTAATATAACTCCGCTTTTTCTTGGGCGATTCTAAATTTGCATCACTTTTCACACCCTCGGAAATACGACTAACTGTCCTTAAACTAATTTTTAAAGCAGCAGCAACACGCTACAAAAAATAAAATTTTACTATTATTAATATACATTACATATAATTATTAGTAACCTACCTCTTGAACAGCATTTAAAGGCAACAAAGGCCTGTTGTTGTCCCTTTCTTGCTCAAAGTAGTGCATTAACCAGGCCACGAGTTCCTTACACCGACTATTTAACTGTTTGGGCATCTTTATATACCAAAATTGCCTTTATCTACTCGTAAAATGAATAATTTTGTTTTGAAACAAACAGTTATTGAGTTACAGTATGCGGGGCCAAAGGATTTATAAAGATTTGAAATGCCACAAATTGATTCAGTGTCAAAATTAATACAAATGTCAGTTCCCAGTTTAAATAAGTTTCAAGGTGACAATGTGTCAACGCTGCGAAATCGGTTTAGTGCGTTTACATGTCGATAAGTGATTGGAGCGTTTGCAAAACATTTTATTTCGCATAATGCGTCTAAATTTATCAGAAAGCAACTTATGTGATATTTTAATAACAATGTTTATATGACTATTAACCATAATAAGAGAGTAATGACCATTTTACAATATATATATCACATTAATATGAAACTGCAATAGAGCAATTGTTTGTGATAGAAACCTAGGCATTACGTCGGGGAATTTTTATCGTGATGACGTGCACGCCACTTTGTTTGGCGTTGACTATAGTTGTACTCACCGTTCTTCGTGGTTACATCATCAACGCCATATGAAATAAGTAAACAGATCGAGTCTCCGTACCATGCGCGGATCTTCACCTCTGCTACTCCCTCCAGTACGCATGAAGTGGTAACAGGGGACCGCTGTTTTCATTCTCTTCCTGGAAATACTCTTATAAATTTAGCGTGAGCTGTCGGCCTTCTCCATTGATCGTATTTCCGGGCATTGTTCGATTTTATATTGAACATTAATAACAGGACAAGTCAAATTGCACGCCGATGTCAAGTGAGATGTCACTCTGACAAATATGATTGAAGGGCACTCATACGTAACGACAAAGTTTTCGAGACGGATGTCTTTGGGCTTACCGAACAAACATGCACACACAGGGGTAGGTTGCATGAGTATATATGAGGGAGATGGAGATGTATAAAGGTATACTGGTAATCTTACTTTGTTACGACTTTTCCTTCCTCTTTTACTTTCCTCAAGTTTGGTCATCTTTCCGGCAACATCGGCGACGCGGAAACGCCACTACGTACCAGTCCGAAGACCTCACTAAGGGCCTTCGCACACGCATCGTAAGCGTAGTCGTTTCGTAAGCGTATCGTTACGATGCAACGCTTACGAGACCTGCAGTCTTCCACACACGCATCGTCACGTACTCGTATTGTTTTGTAAGATCTCAGTTGAATTCATGGCGGCAATGGTACCAGATGTTTCTGGTGTATCCATTGATGATCTTACATTTTTTTCAGACGAAGAAGATTTTTTATTGTGTGATTATGTTAGAAATAGAAAGCGACGGGCTCATTGGATCCATACATACATCGCAAGTAATAAGAAGAAAGGATTGTCTGTTGCTGCACGTAGACTTTCGGAAGATGATAGTAAATTCCGAAGCTTTTATCGAATGAGGAAGGAGACATTTCAGCCATATCGAAAGCAATAGAACAAAACTTTTAAATTTTACGCTTGGTTCTACGCCTGCCTTACGCCAGACCGCTACGACTATCGTAATACGATTGAATATCTCATATGCTTCGCTGCAACACCGCTTCGTGTGCGGACTTGTTAGCACACATACGAGCTCGTTTTGCTCTCGTCATACGCGCGAATTACGATACGATTACGATGCGACGTAGTGTGCGAAGGCTCTAAATCATCAATCGGTAGTAGCGACGTGCGGTGTGTACAGAACGGTGACTATAACTATATCAATCTTAGCACGAAATGATTACTTTGATTACTCTGTTTTCCGTATCGGCACGGGTATTACGAATCTTGAAAAGTGACATTTTGT